CTTCATCCTAATACATTTTCTGCAATCCTGACCAATTTTCAGAGCATCCAATTCAAAACACAGTACGTTATGCATTGATTATTCAAGCAGGAGATTGCAATGCTTTGTTGTTGTTGTTGTCATTGCTTTATGCTACTTAATTGTAGTTAAAGGCAAAATTAGGAAATCCCTTACAGGTTCCCAATAAAAGTTAGCTTTAAAACAAACAACACAAGCGTTTAACAAACAATAAATGTTTATCTGAAATTTGAACTCCTCTCTAGTTCAGGAAGCAACCTCTCCACCCCCACCCACTGCACACATTTTAAGGTTTTCATTCAACAAAAATGTACCAGAAGCATTGCATCAAATCTGCTTAGAACAGATTTGTATTAAGTTATATTATGAAGCCTCCTCAGAGCAGGGAACATCACACTGAATGTAATGAATGGAGGAAAAAATGAATAGATCGATTTCATTGTAGTTTGGTATGGTAAACCTTTGGGTTAACTTTACTTGGAGGCAAGTTATACTGATTTATATGTGCCTTCCAAAAATTGGTGCTGAAGCAGCTGTAACAGAGCCTAATACCCTAACTCTTCCCCCCCCCCTTGTGTTCCTTCCTCCTTCCTTCCTTCCACACAGGCATCCCACCCTTCCTATCACGGTTTCCAAACTAACCACGGTTGGTGTTATGTGGGTATTTATGGCCACCATGGTTAGCTTAACCCAGAATTTCCAAATCTGCTTCTAATCCCAGCTGCAACTTGCTATTGTTTCTGCCACTGAAATAAGATTCTGTTTTTGTTATATACAGATGTATTTATTGGAGTTTTTAGCAAAATTTATGGGGTTGTGAGTTTCCATGAACAACAATACTGTAGTATTCCATGCACGCAAACACTTTTGCACAATTGGCTCATGTTAATATTCCATTTTATTCCCATCCATTTGCATGTTTCCAATCTCGTAAACAAGATGTGCATCGCCTATATAAAAGCTGCTGTAGTGAAAAATAAAAGTCACTGGCATTGCTTTTTAATATTTACCCTTTTTGTGCTTTTCACTAAAAGCATTGAAATGTATCGTCTGACAGGTTTCAAGGCATGCCTTCACCATTATTTTCTACATATACTACCGAGAACTTAAAACATGGACCTAAAACTATGGAATCTGTACACATTTAATTATGCTGAGCATGATCCAGAACTAGTGAAATCCATTGGTATTTAGCCACTGACATCAGTGAGTTTAAGTAGGTTCTTTCTACACATCCTATTGTTTATTGTGCATTACAGTTTACTTATTATTTTTACTAATACTATTACTACCACTATTACTGTGGCTAGTGTTGCTTCTATTAATACTACCACTACCACTGCTGCTGCTGCTACTACTACTACTACCAATAATGTAATTCCCATGTAAAGGAGCTGTTTAAGGTTATCCCAGTGGTGTATAAAAAGAAAATCAGATTTGCCTATGTATAAAAAATATTCTTTAGGAGTTTGTTATACTACCGATGGAGATCTTTAGCTGCCATGTTTGCCTTCTAAAAATAACATTCATGCTCTGCAGTTACATATTATTAGATAGTAGGAGTATGCACTGAAACAGTCACAAGTACTTTCAAATGGAGGGAAGGATCCATAATCAATTAAAAACCATTCATTTTAATGAAAAGATAATGAAAAAGGCATGTTTTAAAGCAGCCCATATCCTTCCTCTACCTCACATGTTGACGCAACCTTATGATGACCATTATTTATAAGAGACAGAAAGGGTTAAGCAGCAAATTGGCACTGCAGTCCTAAATGCACTTTCTTGAAAGTAGCACAAGCTGATTAGAGCAGATGACCTGATTCACACATGCACCACTTGTTGACTGGCTTGCATGTGTGAATAGTTCATACAACGTAACACAGATGCTGGGACATTTTAATACCACTTCAAACCACAACACTTTTCAGTGGAGTCAGCTCCCAAACTGGTAAGTAGCCAGTCTTCAGGTGTACAATGTCCACATGTAGAAAAGCCAAGGGACATACACACATGTGTGAACCAGCCTGGCGTTACATCCCAGCAAGTGTATTTAGGATTATTGATTTCAGACTCAATCCACCAAGTGCTGCTCCCACATTAGCCTCACTGAAGTAAGAATGTGTTGCTCACAAACATTCTTCCATGGACTGGAATCCAACTTCAGCACTTCATTCACAGCTTAAGTCTGATAGAAGTAGCTGCCTACAGTAAACAACTATGGCATTGAGTGGCATGCCCTGAATTTTCCAAGCATTTTCACAATTGCAATGACATCTCTGCACTGAAAGGTGGTCAGATTTTACAAGTGTAAAGCACAATACAGTGGTCAATAGGGTTTTGTTTCAGAAGTCTACAAAGAAATGTACATTGAAATAAATGCAAACTGACTGCTGAAGCTTGTCTGTTTCAACAGCCAAGCATATGTCCATTTGAAGCAAACAATGAAGACCATTCTAAAACAGCTTTGTTTTCATAAATAACAATAAAATGTCTTCAGTCTTAACAGTTTCCTATCCGTTAGTTATGGATTACCTTGGTTCAAAGCTCAGTGTGCACTGAGCTTTTAAGACCAGTCTAGTCCACTGGTTATCCCTGTCCTTTGTGCTTCCCAATGCAGCTCAAGTTGCCTTGAACATTTAAGGAAAGACAGTGTATAAATAAATAAACAATAGCCCTGTGTAGTTAGTTACACATGGCTAGTTGCACCAAAACGCGGATGGAAATGGCCGCATGTACATTCTATTGAAAGCAGACGACATATCCATATTCAAATCTGATTTTACTGCCGCCCCAATCCAGAGGAGGCGATTCCTTGATATGGGCTGGGCTGGGCCTGATTTTAGGATGACGTACTAATGTGGATATGAAGGAAACCTAGATGTGGATTAAAACCAATTTCACTCGCATTTCAAAAGTGTTCTGTCATGGAAAGCCTGGTGTGTCAGGGATAATTTGTATGTAAGGTTGGGAATCATGTGCACCTGCTTCACACATTACAGTAGAAGCAGGGAGGGGGGCAAGAAGTGTGATGCACTCCTTCTCATTTCCCAACTTCCAGGCAATTTGTGAATTGAATCTCAGATCAAGATGATATGCACAGTTACTGCAATGCACCATTTGATCATACAGACAACCCAGTGAAAATGGTCTGAGCCTTGAAAAAGTGCCAATTTATCCAATTAGATTGTTTATGGGATGGCCTCTGTGACCTATAAAGTCCTGGTGAAAGCAGGGGAGGGGATCCCATTCACATACAGGGGATTTAACATAATGCAATCAATACTTAGAAATATTACAATTTCTGTAATCTAAATTTTCCAGGCTACTTAAAGTTGGTTTCAGTGACATTTTGGGTTCCCAAAACAAATTCCTATATGTTTATGTAGTTGAATGCTTTAACCAATTTTTGTGTGTGTGTGACTGTGTGTGTGTGTGTGTGTGTGTGCAGACAACACTGTCAATGTCCAGGTAGTTGAAATTAAATACTTGAAAAGCATACTTCTCTGTCCCTGAAGGGCTCACATTATGAAAAATGATAAGGAAGTTAAGGGTAGAGAGAGAGAGATTATATATAATATTCACACACACATGCATATACACACAAATAGTAAAACCTGCATTTTCTGGATCATGCTGCATCTCCTACTTCTCCAAATTCATTGCCCTACTATAGCACCATGTCATTGTAAAAAACAACAACCCAAAATCATATAAATGTTTCATATCCAAATGTTTTGGATATTATCCAGGCCATGAATATAAAAGAGGCTGTAATATAATAATCCCTATGTTCTAGATAGATATCCATATAAATTTCATCTTCATATAACAATGCAATGCTAGTAATATATATTTATATATAGTATGTATATATAAAAGAAAGTTAACTTTCTATTTTACAAAAAGGCAATTATTTTATTATCAATATAGTTATCAGCTGCTTTTTTACACCATTGCAGTAACTAAAGGAAAGAGGAAAGGGAAAGCTTGATTAAAATAAAAAGTAGATATAAAACCCTGTGGTTTCAAGTTGGGATCCCTTGCCAAGCCTTTGACTAAATACAGTTAAATTCTTTAACTTCAAGTATGGCACTTATATAAATAAGAGCAAAGAGGCGGTGACATATATTCACAGTTAATAGCGATAAATTCTACTCCTTTGGTATATGTGTCCAAAAAAAACCAACACAACCTGTCGGTAAATACATAACTTGGCTGAACTTTAGATCAATCATTTGTATGCATATAGCAGGGAGCTGTGGTTTATTTATTTGTTTATGAATTTGGTAGATCAGAACTAGCATAATAATGATTAAGGTCTCTGGTGTAAGTAGGCAGGCAAACAAAAAATAAATAAATGGCAAAAGTATTTTCAGCACTACCGTTTCTTGTGTAGTTGATTTTTGTACAAAAACAAGGATAGAAAAATGCTAACCATACACAGTAATCAACTGTGTGATGCTGACCATGTAAAGTCAGGCATCCATCAGATGAAGCTCATGGATGTACTAACAGGCTTTACGGTCAGATGCCTGGACAGTGCAAATCTCTCCCTCGGCTTTTATAGACATGCTTGCAATGGAATATTGCTATGACCCCCTCCCCAAACCCTCCCTCAAGAAATGGCTCCCTTGCCGTTTTTCAATATAACATTCTAGACACATTTCCCATCAGTTAGGAAAATTTTCTTGTCCTCGTGATGGTTGAAAAGATGCTCCAGTCAACAAATAGCAATGGACCACTCGGGGGAGGAAATAACTGAGCTGTAAGGCCAGATTGAAGTTGTTGTATAGCTGTTTTTTTCATCAGTCTTTTATTTAGCACACAGTTTTGTATCTGGTTTAGAAAGTGCAGATCAAGTACCTTAACGGCTTTCTTGGTGGTTTGAGGAAATGATTGCTTCAGCAATGTCCTTTCCCTAACACTAATGCTCGGTAGGTCAGTGATCCCCAGCAAAGTCTTCTGGTTCTGCCACAGCCTCACACGTAAGCAGAGTCACTGGACTGAGTCCTGCCAAAGTTAGGCACACTCATACGTGGCAGGTCTTTGTTTCTGATTTCATAAATCGATTTCCGTTTCGCTTGCACTCCCCTCACTGCCATTTTGATCTTTCTCCAGCCCAAGTGGTTCAGTTCGGCCAAATTGAGCACCACACAAATGCCACTGACGGCAAACATGAAGACCAAGAAGACTGTCTTCTCAGTGGGCCTGGAGACGTAACACTCCACTTCCTTAATGCAAGGATACCTGTCACATTCGTACATGGATGGGACATTGAATCCATACAGGAAATACTGTCCCACTAAAAACCCAATCTCCAGGGCATTTCTGAAGACCACCTGAATGATATAAAACCTAGAGATCCCTTCTTGCCGCCTCATCTTTGACTTGGTGGTTCTAATAGCTGGGTTAGGAATTTCCTTTACTTCCAAGCAGTCAGGTTCTGCCTCCTTGGTGGAGTTCTCAGTGTTCTGCAGCACCCCATTGACAATGGTATTCTTGATCTTCTTGCTGTCGTCCCTCTTCATGGAGTCCTGATCCCTGTCCAAAGTGAGGAAGACAGTGGAGTACCTCCTTTCCCTCTGCTTGGCAGATTGGTGAACAGAATATGTTATAAAGCAGAGGCTAGGAGTGCACACCATGATGATCTGAAATACCCAGTATCGAATGTGAGAAATGGGAAATGCTTGGTCATAACATGCCTGGTTGCAGCCTGGCTGCAAGGTGTTGCACACAAACATAGTCTGCTCATCGTCGTACACAGTTTCTCCTACAATGGCCACAATAAGAATCCTGAAGATCACCACCACGGTCAGCAGAATCCTATAAAACAAAGGTTAGATGAGTGCACATTTACAGGGCAGAAGAGGAATACTGAAAAAAATCACTACTATTTTAAAGAAAACACATAAATGGAGAATAGCTCTGCTGGTGGCCACTAGCCAAGCTAGTCAGAAGCACAACTTCTGTGTTCAGAGACAGTGTGATTATTATATGGTAAAACCATAAAAGTCATGATGGGTGTCATAATCTTGCTCAACTTGCTCCTGTCTGGCCACAGTCAGAGATATCCATTAGATATGTATTAGATGCCCTAGAAGGCATTGCTGATGCCCTAGAAGGGGTTCAGCAATCTGCCTCTGTATATTCTTCCCACAAACAAGTGTAAATATTTTTATTTGCAAAGACCTCTCCAGGATATTACTTGTTATCCCCCCCTTTTTTGCTATTTTTATTTACACTTTCTCTATGGCTGTGCACTAGCTTTTAGGAATCATTTTTATTCTACATTAATTTGGGCACTTTTAAAGTAGTGAATGTGATTCACAAATTTATAAAATAACCAAACCGATGCACCACCAGTCAAATCAAGCATGGCATTTCTTATATTCTTTGAACTTAAAGAGGTTAAGAAAACGCAGGCTAATTTCAATCATTATGGGGAGCTGTCCAGTGCTGATCTTGTATCTCATTCAACCTTCTCAAACTTCTCCGCTTTTCTTGAGTGGCTTGACCAAACAAAAAACAAAAAATGATTGCCTAAGCAATGTCCTTATCCATACGGATGTTTACAGCAAACAGAAGGAAATGCTTGCTTGGTTTATTTGAGCACAAATCTTACTTTGGCTTATACAGGGGAAAATCTATAACCACAATGACAGTTCTAAGCAGCCAGTTGTGTGCGTGTTTTTCTCCTGTACCTCAAGTGTCCGAAAACAGATGTCGGTCAAATAAAAGAGAGTGGCACCTCTCCCACTTTCTATGGTATGCAGCATATTGATCAAACCATAAATGAGAGGAGGGAAGCAAATCAAAGGTAAGGGAGCTCACTTGTCCTTACTTTACCCTTGCATTTTGCCAGCTGCAATCACCAGCTAGATAATAATACGACTCTTTGAAAGTGACTCATTCTACATATTACTATTATTATTACTATTATTACTATTATGCTACCTAACAGCAAACATCATCCACATCTTCTGTCTCCTTTAAATGTGCATTCAGTCATTCGCTTTTCTTTTTTAATGAATAAGCCGACGGGGGTGGGAAGGGAAGGGGGGGGGAATGGATTATATCGAAGGTTAAGAGAGTCCCGTGCACTAGCAGTGAACTCTGAAACAAAGCAGAGAAGCGGTTTGAAGGGAGTGGGGGGGGGCGGAGAGAGAGACCGCGCAGTCCTGTGCGGTAGCAAGTTTGCCAAAGAAATAATTGGGAATGTCGAAGGGGGTTGGGAATGGGGGTTGCTGGGAAATCCGGTGCTTCAAGGTGTCCGGTTGGGCTGCGGCTTCCTCCCCCCCCAACTCCCCCTTCCTGGAAGCCGGTCCCGCAGGAATCCAGGGGACTTCCTTCCAGGGCGATGCCATTTAGGATGGCGGGCAGGGAGCGCGCGAGGGAGCGCAGGAGAGCGCAGCGTCCCCGTGGAGCTCCCTCCGCCGCAGGAGCCCGGCAGGGTCAAAGAGGGCGACGGGGAGGGAGGCGCGCCGGGAGCCGTCGGGCCGCTTACCTCCCTATCATAGTGGAGTGCTGCTGGACGGCGGCTTCGAGGAGTCTCTCTAGGATGGTCCATTCCCCCATCGCGGTTCATCGGGAGGCGAAGGCTCGGGCAGCGGCGGCGGCGCAGGAGCGGCGGCGGCGGCGGCTGCGCTCCGTCAGCCACGGCGGCGGCGGAGACGCGCGTTCCCGGCCCGAGCCGCCCGGCGTGCGCAGGGAGGGACGCTGCCCCACGGCCGGGCGGGCTGCCTGGCAGGCGGGGCGGCTGCCGGGAGCCAGCCTGGGCGGCGATCGCCTGGCGCAGCGCAGCCCAGGCGGAGGTCGCCTTCAGTGTCTCGCCGCCCGCCTCCCGGCCGCCTTTAAGTAGGCTCTGCTTGCGTCACGGCCAGGTTGGAGGGGAGCAGCCGAGCGGCGGCGCCACAGCCCGAGAGGGATCGCCAAAGCCGACCCCCACACAGCGCCGCCGCCGCCGCCCCCGAGGACCCTTCGAGCGGGCGGGGTGGCGTGGGGTGGGCGCCCATCTTCCCCACCCCGCCGCCCGACGAGAGCTGCGCCTTTGGGGAGGGGACGGGCAGAGGGATGGGGGGCCCCGACGACGCGCCTCGCCATCCACGGAGCAAGGAGGAGGTAACGAATGGCGCGGAGGGGACTGGGGCCTCAGGGGATCCCGCGACGCCTCGCCAGCCTCCCGGGGGCCGGATCCGGGCGCCTGCCTTTCTTCCGGGCGGCCGTTTCCCGGGGACTTGGCCTGCGCCGCGTCCTTGACAAGGGAAGGCGTATGGGGAAGGAGGGAGGGAGGGAGAGACGCTTTCCTTCCTCGTCGCCAGCCCAGCTAGACGGGAAGAGGAGGCGAGTCGAAGGCGCAGCAACCTCCTTCGCGCCGGAAGGGAGGGGAAAGCAAGATCCCCGCAGATCAGGAGCTGACACCCCCCTCCCTCCCCACGGTTGCCGAGCAGGACGGACGGAGGGCCGCTGGGGACGATCGCTGCTCCGGACGCCAGGTCGGGGGGCGCCCTAGACGCCGAAGCGCCCCCCCTCCCCTGCGGAGGATGGCGCCTCTGCTCCCCTAGGCTGGGCGCGTGAGAAACCTCTCGCACGGTAAGAGCGCAAAGGCCGCCATCCTTTCCTTCGTCTTCCTTGGCTCTTCGCTGCAGCAGCTCTGGCAAAGGGAGACCCGAAGAGGACACGCGCAAGGAGCCTTCCTGCCCTGGGACTGGCTTGCCAAATGGAAATGCCAGTCGCCAGCACCATCTGGGCACACCTGCTGAGGCCCCAGCAGCTAGGAAGGCCCACTGAGGAGGTACAGCTGGGGCCTGGAGAGCTTGGGCCCCACTTGGTTAGAGGGGGTGCAACCTCATCTGCAACTTGCAAGTGAGGGCAGGTCCACACCATGCGTTTTAAACGGTCTTTAACAGATGCTGCCCCCCCCCCCAAGAATTCTGGGCTCCATAGTTTGTTATAGGTACTGAGAGTTGGGAGGAGACCCTCACAGAGCTACAGTTCCCAGTGCCCTTAACAAACTACAGCTCTCAGGATTCCTGGAAGGGGGAAATCCGTGACTGTTAAAGTGATGTAAGTGTGTGGATGTGAACTGAGTTTTGGTGGCTGCAAAGAAGGGCCCAATCAGCCTGGATGTCGCTGAGCCCTCTGCACCACCCAGAGGGAGAGCACAGGTGAGCTTGAGAAGCCTCAACATCATAAGAGAATAAGGCAGCTGGATCAGGCCCAAGGTCCATCTGGTCCAGCATCCTGTTCCCACAGTGGCCAACCAGATGCCTGTGGAAAAACCTCTTGATCTTTCACCCAATATAATGGAGGATGGCCCATTAGGACATAGGGGCATTGCCCCACCAATCTCAGTCACTTGCCCGTCTTCTTCCTTGCAACCAGGCCAAGGACTGCTGGTCCGCTTCCTCTTCCTTAGTCTCAGTGTTGCCCCTTGTAGAATTCAGCAGAGAGGAGAATGGGGACATTGCCTGTCATTGCTTCTGACTCCACTGACCTGTCCAGGTGTGGACACCAGCTGCTACTGCCTTGGCTGCAGGCAGGTGGAGGGATCAGTTACGGTTTGCCTCCCCCTCCCTCTGGGAGGTTCAACTTGCTCACACCCTCTGCCTCTCTGGGCTGGACTGCATGGGCAACAGGGCCTAGCAGGCTGCACAGAGTGAGCAAGAGATCACTTGTGTAAAAGATCTGTGGCTGCTTCTTGCACCTCCTCTGGAGGTGGTGCCAACATCTCAGTTTGTTTACCATCTCCCTCTGTCTCTGGCTGGCATGAGGGGGGGTGAGGGCTGAGGGCTGTGCTTGCTGGGCCCAGTTTGCACTGCCATGCCACCAGCAAGGAGAGAGCCCATGTGTGATAAGCTAACAAGATGGTGGGCTGGCTGCTTTGGGCCATTTGCACACCTGCCTGCTCTCTCCCTCCAGGGACCTGCTGCGGAAAGAGCAAAGGGAGAGCAGGTGGACAGAGCCTGCAGCTAGTGCTCTTATATTCTCTGGCTCTCCCTCCCTCCCTCTCTCTGCAGCGCCACAGGGCTCAGTCCCCTCACCCCACTGCCTAGAAAAAGGAGGGAGGAGAAAGCCACCAGCCTCTGTCTGGTGTGAGGAAACCTGGGTCCACTCAGGGGGCAAGAAGGAAGCCTCCATAGGCCAGAGAGAAAGCCTGGCAGTCATGCATTTCTTCAGGTCCTCTTCCAGCTAGACTACCCACATGCCACCTACTGTCCTGTGGGGAGGATTCCAGGAAAGAGGGGCAGGGGCATCATTGTCTCACCCCAGGGTGATACATCACCCACTGCCCCATGGGAAGGATGGTTTTTTAAATATGTTACTGTTGTTTAATGTGCTTTCCAAATATGCGATTGACTTTACTTGTAAGCTGCCGTGGTAGGATTTGTATCCTGAAAGGTAGGAGATACATAACTGTAAGAAATAAAGTAAAATTAAGGTTCAGCTAACTCATATCAGCTTCTCCTGTCCTGCCTCTTCACACATCACATTTTAAATATGTATTTCTAAGCATGCACACCTCTTTTAGGTGCACATTTCCAAAGAGATGCCTAAAAAGGTAAAGTATGAATTCAGTAAATATATGTTTTGCTCAGTTACACATCTCACAGAGCTGTGATTGACTGAAGTTCCCTCCTGAGTGGACTTTCATTGGCAAACCCAGGATTGTCTCTTTGATGTGTGAAATGCTAGGGGCCAAAGAATCATTACTGAAACAGAGAGATGTTTCGCAGGTCTGCTGCCATCGTTAATATATGTGTACCTCGGCTAAGTTAGGTAGCCAAATAATATGTAAAGCACAAATGCAAAGACTTAGGTGGTATCATTTCAGTGTCTTTTAATAACTTCATTCTTTAAAAAAATTGAGGTTGGTGAGCTTCAGATTAGAGAATTACTCAGTGTACTCCATTTATATGGTACAGCTGTTTGCACTACACAAAATCTAGTAATTATTTGCAAAGGGGGCAGTTGTTTGTCCTTACAGAAGTGCAAAATGTATCTCAGTAAGTCCTTAGTAGTACAAATGCAACTAAGGGCACATTGCAAATGTCGTATTATAAGTTTGATATGTACATAGCATGTACATATCTATGGGAAAGTGGCCTCACTTCATAATGTACTAGAGTGATGTGACATTGTTCCTTGTTATTAATGTGTGTGAGAGAGAGATTACTACATATCACAGTCAGTTATAACAAGAAATAATATTGCATTACTTGTCATTCTAGTACATTAACGAGTACACTTTTTTTACAAAAATGTTTGCAGTTATTTTCCACATAACATGTACGTGTGACCCTCCTTAATAAATTGCATTTGCACTACTAATGCATATTTATTTTCTACATCCCCTTATTACTATTATTACTTATGGGAGAATTCAACGTAATGCATAGCTGTCAATTCCCTTATTCCGAATAGGATTCCTCGCAAGAAAAGGGAAAAGTTGACAGCTATGACATAGCGCTAAGCAGATTGCTCCATCAGTGCAAGCATTTCTGCTTTCCTGATGGAATGATCTGCCCTGTCCTTTCTCCCAATACCCTGTTCTGGGGGTTCTCCCAACCTCCTGCCAGTTGGCGGGGTGAAGGGGGCACACAAGGAAGGAGAGAGGGGAAAGCCCTATGGTGCTAGTAGAAGTGCTTGTGCAAGCCTCTACTGCCAGGACTCACCAGCTGAATCTCATACTTCGATTTCTTACCCACCCTTCCTCATGAGATATCGCTATGTGTCACAACTATTTAAAAATGCAATCTTTAAAAAAGTTAAAACAGACTGCAGGTAAGAGAAATGGGCAAGTCATAAAAAAAATTTGAGTCTCGGGTTGCAAAAGTCCAGCATACATCTTCAGCACCTGACCAAAACTGCATAATGAAGGTTCCAGGTTCACCTCCCTGGGGAGGGAATTGCACATCTTAGAGGCTGCGACAGAGAATGCCTTCTTGTCATCCCTCAAACTCACAAGGGCAGCGGAACTGCCAAGAAAGCCCCCTCGACTGATCTGACCCTGAGAGTCTAGAGGGAAGGATCAGTCGTTCTGATATTTGGGGCCTAAGCCATTTAAGGTGTTAAACATGAGTGTGAGCACCTTGGCTTGGGCCTAGAAATGAACTGGCAACCATCGTTCTTTTCAACTAACTCTTTGAAGTCTGTAGCCACTTCGGACAGTTTGTGGCCTTTATTACCAGTGCTATTTTTCTAGAAAAAGAGGTGCCAGAACTCACCATGAATGCCTCCCTTGTTCTCTTACAATGGCATTGGCGCCCACCTGAGAGGTGCCGGAACTGAGTTCTGGTGACTTCCAGGTGGGGGGAAAGCCCTGGTTTTACCCATCTGTACAGTGGTACCTCGGGTTAAGAACTTAATTCATTCTGGAGGTCCGTTCTTAACCTGAAACTGTTCTTAACCTGAGGTACCACTTTAGCTAATGGAGCCTCCCGCTGCTGCCACTGCGCGATTTCTGTTCTCCTCCTGAAGCAAAGTTCTTAACCCGAGGTACTATTTCTGGGTTAGCGGAGTCTGTAACCTGAAGCGTCTATAACCCGAGGTACCACTGTACTTCTTTATGTGGCTCT